CTCACCTTGGGGACTGTTGATGTTTATGTGTCACCTGAACTGTGAGTACATTACTTGGGGCCAGCTAGATCATGTAGTGACATCATTCAGCCACTGGGCATTGAGGTTTGCAGTTTCAGAAAGAAATGTGGACCAGAAATACACAAAAGAGCGACATCGACCAACTTGGAAACATCTTTCCCTCCATGGAACCTCATGAGTAATTAATGTCGGAGATATACACACTTCATATTTTGGAAGTGTTTTACAATGTTGGTATACTCCAGACCACAGCACTTTGACGGTGTCAGCTTCTATGTTGGGTGCTGGAGAGAAGTACAAACTGAATACGATCCTTCAGTTGACCTTTAGACTGCTAATGCCTACATGAAAGCATCACTTGTCTCTCTATGAGAGAGCCTTAAAAATACACTAGTCATCTATGGGAAACTGGTAGCTACAGCTAATCTGAAGAATAATACGCATTGGAGCTTTTCCCTCAGTAATACTTACACAAGCCCAAGAAAATGGGCAAAAATGTAAGGTATGTCTTTTACCATATAAGATGAAAATTTCCAGACTATCTCTTAGTGAAAGTATCCTTTGTATTAGGGAATATAGACATAGCCTACCTAACTCAGCTTCATCTAAACCTAGCCATAACATCAACACCAACTCTGGCATGAATCCTAACCTTAAACTTAATATTACAACTCAGTTAAAATGAATTCTGACCCCCAACATTAATGGCAAATCTAACCATAGCTGTAGTTTTAAACCTAAATGCAGCATGAACTCTAACTCTAACCCTATAACTGACATTTTAGCTATTAACCTAATAGGTGGGAATGTTATTATGGAATCCACTAACTAAATAAAACTAAAATTTTACTTTTAGATTCAATAAGTAATTTCAAAACAGGTTTCCATCACACAGTCTTTAACAAGGTATCACTGGCTACCCTGGTGTTTCCGGTGGAGACAACTGAAGGTATAGTTTCATTCTTAAGTGTCTACAGGACACATTCGATTATTCAGTAGGCATATTCAAGGAAGAATTGCTATAAAATTTTAGGGAATATTTCTAAGAGGCAAGATTTAAGTGGAGAAAATACTTTCATATATTGCTTTCACAGAGTTCAGGCTAATCTTAATTTCTGTCTTTAAAATTAAACTCCCCAAAGAGCAAGGGCTTTCTATTCCTAGAGCCTTCCAGAAAGCTGGGGTCACAAGCTTTTCTATTTATATTTAAATCCAAATGTGACCCCACCTAGATCTTGTCAGCTAGAATGTGTCTAGATTAGACTTGTGATCATTAAGGTGGTGGGTGCCCTTGGTCTCTGGGGTTTATAGGCATAAAATAAGGTTATACATGGTACTACACTTAGAAACTCATAGCCAAGCTGAGCAAGAAAAAGACAAGAAAGAATGTGATGAAATAGACAAAATTCAAATTCATAATTAGAAGATCATGAGAACACAAATGCTGTTAAGTCTACAGTATGTGAATTAGACCTAGATATTGAAATGACTCAAAATTACAGATATTAATGAATGCAGTAGACAATATTTTGTCTACTTAGAAACTTACCAAAACTTCATAAGATATATTTATTTCTCCCCAGGCTCTTATGAGGGTGTATAGAGAACATTATTTGCATATGCAGAAGTAAGCTTGATGGAATTTCTTATTCACCCCCTAACCCCCTAGCAAGAATGGTAGAGATTTGAACTCAAGTTGCGCAATTTTGAATGATACAGAACCTCATTCTGTTTTACAAAATATATAATCCTTTTCCCTAGAGGATTGAGCAAAACTTAAGAGGTAAGATCAGTTTGGAACATGAAGGGAGTAAGAGGAAGGCAGGAATCTGGGGATGGGATTGCAGACAGATGGACATCACGGACACAAATTAAAACCAGCAAAGATGTGGCACTTTGAGTGCCAGCACAGGTGATGACATGCCATGTGAAGCCTCACAGGAGCATCAGCAGTGTTGTGAAACAGAGAATGAACTGATTAGTGAAAGGTGGATCTATAGTGGTGAGCAGGGAAGACTAGGAAGCAAGTCCTGGAGGCCTACTGGGTGCCTGTCGGGCGTGATATCAAGGAGGAGTCTGGAATGTGGCGGTAGAACTTAGTACAGAATGGAAATAAACGGGCTTACAGAACAATGGTTAAGCTGGTAGGACAGTGTTCGAGTAAGAGGGGTGAAGGAAGTGGAAAATGACAGAATTCCACGTTTTTAATAACTAGATGATGCAGGCAGATTGCGTGCTCTCTCTGGGTGTCTCAGGAAGGAGAATGTGAAGGTGACATCACCCTTGTGCAGAAGATATAGACACCTGGTGCAGACATGACACTATGACATGAATGCATCACTCTTAATGAGTGAAAGCAATGTTAAATGACTAGAAAGATGATGTTTTCAATACCATTATTTACAATTATTTACAATTGCCAAAATTGGGAAATATCTGAATATCTGTACAATGGGGGAAGTGTTAAATAGGGAGTATTATGTTGAAATTAAGACTGAAGAGTGTGAGGATGTAAATGCTCACAGTAGAATGGTGGATGGGAAGAAACAACTCGTATAACACTACCTAAATATCATGGAGAGGGAAGGCTGGCATGAAGTCCCTCCCAACCCCAGCTAAGGCACTATTGGCACCTGATAGCTACAGGAAAAGGGAGGATCAGTTTTCTTCAAGGGTGTGGCCTCTGGGAAGTCTACCATGCTCCAGAAGTAAGCCAAACATCCAAGAGTGTATGAGCAGCACAAACTGAACTCCATGACTTTTTATTTGTTTGTTTGTTTGTTTATTTCTAATGACATAAAGTTGGGTTGGCAGGAAAATGGAATGAATCTGGGAGGAGTCGAGGAAAGGGGTGAATCTGATCAAAATACAACATATGAAATTCTTAAACAACTAATAAAATAAATAAGTATTCACAATAACTATGTGAATGAAGCAAAAGGCTGGTTACAAGGAGTTATCCTGATGCTTACATGACTAGTTTATATTATTTACCCTGGTGCTTACATGACTGGTTTATACTATTTACCCTGGTGCTTACATGACTAGTTTATATTATTTTGTACATTTCTAAAACTTCCGAACTTTTCACAATTGATCCTTTATTTAGCTGTTATAATGATAAAATGTTTAGGAACAACTGTTAGTATTCGAAGCCTTTACATGTGCCTTCTTTCAAAGGAAATATCACATAATGAACATGAGGGTGTATTCCTCCTACACTGGTCTGAGACAGTCAGAGTCGAATGGAACAGCTTCCGAGAAATGGCAAGCAGGAGAGCTGACCTCCGTAGGAAACAGAGAACACATCTACAGAAGACAAATGCAGCAATAACAGAGTAGACATATAGCCTTAACTGACGGGGACCAGCGTCCTCATCAGAGGCGGGCTGACCCTTGGGAGCTGTTTACATCTCACATAAACACAGAACCAACTCCGGAAGCAGATAAAAAGACAGTTATGCCCCACTTGCAAACAATACCTCACAAAAAAATACTTCAGGGGCTTTGCTAACCTTTGGGGAGGGCCCTGCTAGAATTCCTCTCATTGCCATCGGGACTGCGAAACACCAATGCATGTGCCATCCTAAACAAAACCAAAACCATCCATCCAGGCCCACTACAAAAATGTCTCTGTGGAATTAAATTGGTGAATGTATATTTAATGAAATAAAATATTCCTAAGAAATAAATTCACATGGGTGCCTTTGGGAAAAATAATGATTGAAATTCAAAATTATGAATGTCTTAGAATACTGATATTCAGTTAGGACAACGCCTGTTTTCCCGGCTGGTGAGCCGCTAGGAGAGCACAAAGCCACCACTCATTTGAGGGAACGTGGAGCTGTAAAGCTACCACCAGACTCCAGGATTCCTGCTAGGTGTGTTACCTCTCACGGCCTTGCGCTCTGCCACTTGAAGCGAAAACCATGGCAACTATCTCTGGCAGATGAGTTTCCGGCTAGTGAAGCCTTGCTTTCCGCGCAGATGTGATTTCACTCATTTTCGTGCTGCTCTAAGTTCAGGAAATTTTCCTCGAGTTATTCTTCACTCTCCCCCCGCACACAAATTAGCCTTACTCTCTGTTTTTGATGCCTTCCTTCTCGGTGTAGCACAACTTCAAGAACGCCCCCACACACACACAAATTAGCCTTACTCTCTGTTTTTGATGCCTTCCTTCTCGGTGTAGCACAACTTCAAGAACGCCCCCACACACACAAATTAGCCTTACTCTCTGTTTTTGATGCCTTCCTTCTCGGTGTAGCACAACTTCAAGAACGCCCCCCCAAAAAAAACAGCCAAATCTAGGCGGAGTCAAGGTGTGACTCTGCGTTTCTTTCGGGGACTGCTTGTTAGCAGACTTTCCGTGGGCCTATCCGTGCCTGTCACCTTGGCCACCTTCACATTTGAAAGGAAACAACCAGCACAGGGGAAGCGTCCAAACTCCTTGCTAGCCGGTGTCCATGATTCCTGCCCGCTCTCTCAGGCTCTGAGTAAGCAGAACTGCTCTGTGTAGAGGCAGAGGATTTCCCCCAGTTACGAGATTGCTTTTCCCCAGAGGGGCTGTCAAAACAAGCACAGGTTTTGTTGTTTTGTTATGCTTTTTTTTTGTTTTGTTTTGTTTTGCTTTTTGCCCGCTTATCTCTCCACACAGGAAGAGAGCAGCATTGGAAAACAAAACCTCACTTATATGCTGGTTGTAAAGTTTTAATAAATGAACTTTAGGCTGTGTTTGCATCTTCAAAGTATCAGAGGAGGAGGGGAAGCAACGCTGGGGCGGGGTGGGGGGACATTTGGCCTTATTTATAGAAATGAAATAAACTTAAAACGAAGTTTGCTATCCCAGCTCTCATACAGTGCAATTTAACTAGAATGACGGACAAAACCGACTGCAGCTTACCACACCGTGTGTAATCAGAGTGACATCGGGACCTCCATAAGAGGACACTGTTTGTCTAACTTTAGCTAACCCGTGCACTTCCTGTAGTGTGCTCTGGCTGTCGGAGCCAAAGGGTCCAATTACCCTCTGGCAAGCTTTGGAATCTTCTTTCTCTGTCTGCAGAGATGTCTCTTTCTGCACTCGTTACTTCTGGATTGAAAAGCTTACTCTGTTGATAAATCTATACAAGCTAGACAGCAAGCAGAGTCAGCTCCATCTATCTGGAAAAAAAAGAAAGCAAAGGAGTTCCTGGAGCCTTTAGTGGATGACAGTTTCTGCTTCATTACATGCACATTTCATACAATTTGCGTGACAAGTGAGCCAAGACGGTGTTTTTCATCCATGACTTGGTGTGCAGGAGAGGAGGAAGATGACAAAGCAAAGAGCCTGAAGATTTTGAGGAGAGAAGGGACCAGGGCTTCACTGTGTTTTGGAGTCTGCTGGGATAAACGGCCATTCATGAATTTTACATTTTAAATTCCAGGCACAACCTGAAATCCAAAGAGGATCTTCCCAGAAGACCTAGTGAACTCCAGTCTGGTAAGTCCTGCTTCAGAATGGCACTCTCTGTGGCAAACCACTGGCAAGGATGTAATTTAGGGGAGCAGGAGTGTTCAAGTCCTGAGAATTTCTGTCTTTGTCATGTCTAGGGTTCTGCAGAACTAAGACTCTTCACACACTGGGACAGGAGCTTGGGGATTCTTAACAAGACGCTTGGTGTATGTTTTCCTTCAAAGAATCGGGAAAATACTGATTTTGCCAACCTCATCCTGCCCTGGCATAAAAATCAAATCGTTAGTGGCATGGCAAGGTTAAGAAGGTTGGTGATATGCAAATTATGCCTTTCTTCCTGTATATTCCTAAATGTTGATTGTTGGTACCTAGGCTTGTCATGGACATATGCTGAGGGCATTGTATTGTGTTCATGTGTGTTTGTGTCATTCCTCAGGAGATGTCCATCTTATTTTTTTTTTGAGACAGAAACTTGCACGGTAGGCTAGGTAGGTTGGCCAGCAAACCCCAGGGATCCACCTGTCCGTACACCCCTAGGGCTGGAACTACTACTGTATGCCTCCACACTTGACTGTTGCGTGTGGGTTCCAGGGATGAAACTCAGGTCCACAAGCCTGTAAAGCAAGCACTTCACTGGTTGAGATATCTCTCCAGCCTTGAAGGATGATATTTTTATTAGAAATTTAACTATATCTTTTTGTTAAGAAATTTAGATACACTAATAAGTTAGATAGAATAGAAAATTTGCTTTCTTACCCTTTGTTTAATAATAGTGTTAGTGTTAAAGTGATAAAAATCATCTGAAAAATATTGAGTTGATGACACATCAATTATGAAGAAAATTATAAACAATAGAAATATTAGGCCATATATATTTTAAACTGGGTAGGTATTTAAACTTCAAAAAAGTAGAATTGTAAACAAAAACAAAATAAAATGACAACAAACCACAAAAATGTTTTCCTTTTACTTATCTTTAATTCTCTCAAGTTTTATAGTCAAACCCACCATTTTTTAAATTGCCCTTTGCCCTCATACTATCAATTGAAAAATATCTAAATGTGAAATTGCTGCAATTTAACTAGATACAAAAAAGAAACTTGCTAACTAGACATATCAAGAATCCAGTCTACACATGGATCAGTTGCTAACAACACTAAATGTCACTATTCTCGTGAAAGATGGGCAACCACACAAAATAACCTAGGTTTATAAATAATTAGGAAAAAAATTTGAAACCGTGAAACCTTGTATTATGTCATGTTTGTTCCTAAGGAGAATAAATACTGTGATTCATAAAATGAATAGCAAAGGCTAGCAATTGTTTGGAATGTGGACACAATGCCAGCCTAATACCTTAGCCACAGAGAGGTGAGTGGAGAGGACAGGAAAGTGGGTCACGTGTAGGCTAGCAGGGTCGGGCTTGAGTGGTATACTTCTGTAGCTGTGATAGTCCTAGATTCTGGTAGCATCAAGGACTATTATTTCTGCCATTCTCCATCTGGAAGTTTTCATTTTCCTAAGATAGGGAAGGGAGGGAACTTCCTTGGCCTCTTTAGGGAACCCGTTGTCCCCCAAAAGAAGGAACTAAAACTCTCAGTATGGGATCCTAAGGAAGCCAGAGCAACCCAAGGGGAGGTCTTTGGGATTCTAGAGGGTCCATCCTTGAATGGGCCTAATGAAACATGAGATTCCACACAATTTTGTGTTAAATTTCTTTTGAGTATCAGTGGAAAGGGACTTGTGTAAGAGGAAGGGAGACGCCTTCACACAAAAGCTGCCCCCAAAGCCAGGGCTTCTATCCAGCATGCACCCCATAGCTCTGATGTTTACGGTGGCTTTCCAGAAGGTATCTGTGTGGAGATGGAAACGGACAGAGGCTTCCTCCTCTTTGTAAACAGATGTGGGTCAGCCAGGGAACTCAAAAAGACTACAGTCAGGTTAGTCTTGGTGACTAGGCATCTTGACCATGAGAGGAATGAAGGTTTATTGGGATGACTGTGAGTTGGCAAAATGGAAACACAAATGTGGAACCAGCATCTAGGTGCCATGGATTATCGGAAAGAAGAGAGAGGTGTGTGATGTAGAACTGAAGATGAGAGAAAAGGGGAGGTTGGCTGCGGAAGTGAAGAAACACCAAGAGAGCCAGAAACAGGTTGACAGGAAAGACTTGTGATGATCTCAACTGCTTCTGCTGATAGACTGTGTGTTGTCTGTATTCTGGGTGGACAAGCCATGGTTACAGTGCCCCAGTGGTAATACAACAGAATGGCCAAGCAATTAGACACACGGTTGGAAATAATGGATTTACCCTGCGTGCCACCTAACTTCTAATACGTATCTCCCAACTGTTGGGTCCTTTGCCTTGATCTGCACCCCAATAAGCCTCTCTGCTGATGTAGCAATCCAAATCAGATCAAATCAAACTGAGTTAGAAACAGGCCAGGATTAAGGGATAAAACGCTCCTGGATGATTTTTCCAGCACGCCAGAGAGGACACAGAAAAGAGAGATAGGAAAACCACATGTCTATTTTCTGGGGGCGGGGCAGTTTAAACACCCTGTGGGAGTGGTCTTGAGCATCATATGGAGGGCTTTCTGAGATGAGGCAGGGTTTGGAAAGAGAGCCGGGGAATGGGGCGGGGGGACAGAATTGGGGTGGAACTTACACCAGAACATTCCAGACACTTTGGTTATCTGGATGCCAGGGACTAGGGTGAAGCTTCCACCTGAACACATAGATACCCATTCATTGTTGTACTGATAGGTTTAAATGTCAACTGAGCACAGCCCAAAATCACTTAGTAAGAATCTTAAGGTAGAGTTATGTAAACCAGCTTGTCCTCTGTGGAATTGTCTTGATTGTTAATTGATACATGGAGATCCAGCCCATTCCCCAAGGCAAGGAATCCCAAACTGCAAGAGAGAAGAAAAGTACCTTAGAGAAGTAAGGCTATATAGATGATCTCTGTGGTCTTGGCTATGGATGTGGTAGTTGCTAGAATTCCTGCCATGATTTCTCTGCAATGATTCACCATAATGTGGAAATGTAAGCCAAATAACCACACCCCACACCAGAAGAGGAAGGGAGTCACAGCAAAGCTGCCAGATGTTCACCCCCAAGTTTGTCATGTTACCGGAGTCAGGGTCAGAACCTGTGTCCCCAACAGCTATAATAAGCTGGGCTTGGCCACATGCCCATCCCTGATATGTTAGTTGAAAGAGCCAAATTAATAGTGAAAAGCAAATGAAGGAGGTTAATTAAGTGTAGGGAAAGGGGGCAAAAACATTCAGAGACCGGCACAGCCTCCACCTTCCCACACCCTGTCCTCCTGGCCATCCACCTTTCAGGTCCCTAAATTGGGACAAAGTTAAAGTAGAAGGCAATCCATGCATAAGTAAGCCACCCATCACTGACCACCATTGCCTGGGCTCCTGACTCTCCTGTGGGGTGGTTTGATAAATCATTGCCATCCTGTGAAATTCCTTTCTTGGAGACAAGTTTCAGGCTGACCCAAGTGTGAGTCTTTTCCTTCTCCCAGAGTGAAATTCAGGGGAGAAATTCCAATCAACTATGGTACCTTGTTTCAATAGTCCACATAGCTAGTCTCTTTAGAATGTCCTCATTCCCTCCAGGCAGGCTGGTTACAGTCTATTTCAGGGTTTCCCTGAGCTGATTCTGCTGTGGGAACAAGAAGACTTTACTATGATCTCAAACATATTCCTTTGAGGGACCTCAGCGGCCTCCTTTCTGGTAGGTGCTGATTTTCCTTGTGGTCGTCTTCAATGTCTCCTTTCCCCTCCACTCCTTTGACTAAGACCTGTTCTGAATTCTTTCTGCCCAAACGAAGTAGGGCCACCGGAATCAGACTTAGGGAAACATTTATAAAGGTTTTGCAAATGAGCCTTTCTGCTCTTATTCACTGACCCAGCAAGGAGTTTGCGTCTGTACCCAGCTGTTGACAGAAGTGATGTGCTCCAGATACCATCCTTCCCTTTCTCCCATGGTAGTACAGACTGCCATGTGGTGAGTGCTTCCTTGGGCCTACTAGAGCTCCTCTCATACGTACTTGCCTTGTGGTGGTGTGAAGCATCTCCTTTCCCCGCAGGGTGAGAGAAGTAGGGAACCTCAGCTTTGTAAATATCTGGAATCTATTATTTTTAAAATGAAACCAGGCAGCCACATCCTAATAGCCAGTAGAAAGAGAGACAAACAAAAACAAACAAAACAAAACCCTACTAAAGAGAAAGAAGACGTGCCCATGAAATACGATAAAATGTGCTGAGATACCACAAGATTTCGCAGGAAAACTCCATCATCTCAATGGTGAATCCAATATTGAGTGTATGTGAGCATGCATTCATATTCCTACTGGAATATGGATCTGTGTGGGTGTGCACTGGGGCCTGACATTGAAAATAGGTATTTTCCCTAATCACACTCCACCTTGTTTATTGAGACAGGGTTTCTCACTGAGCCTGGAACTCACTGATTTGACTAGACTGCCCTGACCAGACAGGTCCAAGGGTCTTCCAGGCTCTGTCTTCCCAAAGCTAAGATCATAGGCTAAGCTCAAGAACAATTTATCCAGTGATGGTTTCTAACCCTTCAAGGATCAAATAGAATCAAGGTCTCTAAAACTTCTTCGAAGCCCAGTTTTCTTTAGATAAATTTGATTGGCTTACTGAGCTTAGAGGGAACTTCATAGAAAGAGATGAAATTGGAAAATTGTTAAATACTTAGAAATGAACTGTTAATGAGTTCCTGCCAATCCTTTGCATACGTAGTTAGTAGAAATAAGATAATATCCTCATTTTAATTAAAACATTTTGGAAAATGAAAAACATTTTTTAAATGAATTAGATTTAATTTTGATGTGTGGAATTTCTATCCATTGATTTATCTGACATTTCATTTCAAGACAAGGCTTAAAAACTTGATGAAGGTCTGAGACACTGTTTCCAATCTTCTACTTAAACCTTGTTCACTTTTGACAACTGTCTTAATCTTTCCCTGACTGTCTTTCATTGTCCTTCTTGTTTGAATGCTTGTATTTGATTGTTTGTTTGTTAGTTTTTGGAAACAGGGTCTCAATATGTAGTCCAGACTAGCCTGGAAATCAGCTTTCCAAGTGTGAGATTTGTAGACACTCTTAAGCCACCATACCTGGCTCTTTTTCCATTGCTGTAACATAATGCCTTTGATTTGGAAATTAATGAATAGTGCTAATTTATTTCTTGTACTTTCAATAGCATGTTGTTGGCATCCAGTAAGGGCCTTCTTAGGGCTGCTTCTGGTGTCAAGAAA